GAACCGGTCTGTATGTGGGATCCAAACCCTTGGGCGGGAGCGCCGCCGCGCTTCCCAAGCGGCGCACTATCCAGTGCGCCACCGGGCCGGCCCTATCCAAGTAATTTTTAAAATTATTTACATTTAATCTTATTTTGGTACCACACTATTCTTAAACTAGTTTAAATCTCTCCCCCCCCCGCCCCCAACAAATGGTTACAGTCTTAGGTCAAAGGTTTTCAAAACTATGTTCAAAGGAGAAGCATCTTAGAGGCCACCAAGGAGAGCTGCGGGGTGAACTCTGGGAATCCCATCTAATTTCAATCAGACCAGTACCACCAATTATATCTGTAGACATAGTGGGTTTCTGCCTAAGATTTAATTTAAAGGAAATGTTGCTTTATTAAAGTTTGAAAATCATTGTCCAAGATGATCCAGTAAATAAGAAAAGGCAGGGGCTGATCAATATCTCTTAAATTTCTGACCAATTCTGACAGCTTTCCTAATAGTTAAAAATTTTAAATCTCCTTTTACAAATGAAGTAATTATTTCAGATGGTGTCTTGAACCAGTGTATTTAACACCTCATCCCAACAGACAATAAAAATAGTACATGCTTTAGTAGAGCATAGACTTGGGTTTGAGTCGCAGCTTCCCCACAGTTCAGTTACCCCAGCTATAAAAAGAAGATATTAACAGTATTGACTGTATTGGGTTATTGTGAAAAATAAATGAGATGATGTAGTTTCCAGTTCCTGACAGCAGAATGAGCACATGTTCACTTCCCATTCTCAGTAAATTGCATTAAAGATTAAAAGTACAAAAAGGAATAAGCCCTCAACAGCAAAAAGGTGAAGGTGGGCTCACCACCTGGTGAGAGACTTCCACAGATCTGAAAGTTAGAAAATAAACTGGAATGAAAAACAGTAGTGAAAACCACAACCCAAAATATATTATGAAGGGCTAGAACAGAGGTTAAGCCTTCAGAACCCTGAGGGGTGGAAGGACCAATGAGGTCTCAAGAAAACCAAAACCAGAAGTGAGAGTGGGACAGAAAATGGGAAACTTATTCCCTTAATGGCCTCCCCCACTCTCTATGAACACAAGTACAGATAACCAGAGAACAGATCCCTAGTAAAAAAGATCCCAAGGCTTTTCTAGAAAGAAATACAATGAACCTACCAGGAAAATCTAAGGCTTTAGTGTAGGTGTTGGTGTCCCAGACTGTCCTCATCCTGACATTTGAAGAATCTGAAGCCTGTTAGTTCCCAATCCATTCACCCTAAATTATAGTTCCCAAACTGTGTGCCAAAGTACCTGGAACACCACAGCAAACTCAGACACCTGGACTAGAGAAAATTTGAAGGAAACCCAGCATCTTTCAGATACCATGCAATATACTACTGTTAGGTTGTTTGGACCCAGCTACAAGGCATTTCTTTTGGACCAGGGGTGCCATGAGAAAAAAATTACTGAGACACTAAGGGCACTGTGAAACAAAAAAGTAAACAAATAATGGCCCACCCATAGTCAGTCTTCCTACTCAAATAGGCTTATTGGAAACAGATCTATTTACTCAATTAAAACACATACATGCAAACCAGTTACTCATTCTTAAATGTAAGTGGACAACCAAGGATCACTCAACATGAGGGAAATTAGGAGCATTAACATAAAGACCATGAGAGAAAGAGAGAGAGAGAGAGAGAGAGAGAGAGAGAAACTGACTTTGGAGTAAAAATATAATACAGGGAAGAGAGAACTTTAGAAAAATATCCTCTCATTAGTATATCCAGAGATTTGACAGAATTACATTTATAAAATAACAAGATGTTATGATAAAGGATTACTCAGAACAAGAGCTCTTAGAGACTAAAAACATGGTTGATGAAATTAAAAAAACAAAGGAGTGATTGAATGAGAAAGTTGAGGAAATTTCCCAGAACTTAAAGCAAAAAGACCTAGAAAGGAAAAAAGAACAGAAATAGAGGCGCAATGCAAGAAATCCAAAATCCAGTTAAGAGGGGTCCTAGAAAGAGAAAAAAAAGATAAGAGAAAGGAAATTATGGAAGAAATTAAGGGAAGACGATTTCCCAAAACTAAGGGAGTCTCCAGATTGTAAGGAATCATAAAGTAACAAGGCCATTAAAAGACCCACCACACTTAAGCACATTCTAGATAAATTCCAAAATATGAAAGAAAAAATTCCAAAAGTTCTAGAGAGCAAAAAATGGTCACCTGAAAAGAAAAGCAAATTAAACCAGCATCAAATTTTTCATCAACTCTGTAGGCCAGAAGCAATGAAGTAATATTATCAAAGAAACAAAGAAAAACTACTTTAAATTTCCATACCCAGGCAAAGGATAAATAAAGTGAGACTAAATTTATATTTAGGGGCTTCTGGGCAAGATGGTGGAATAGACGGTCCCCAGCGTTTCTCTCTCACACAAATCAACCAATTTACAACTATAAAAAAGCTGGGGCTACTAGAGCTCAGGGGAAGAGGAGGAGATACCTACGGAGTTCATGAAGTCAGGAGAAGCCACGATGAGAGAAAGAAAAAACTGCTCAGAGCATTTAGGGCTGCGGCTGCTTTAAGGCTGGAGCTGCTGAGTGCACGGAGCAGGAGCCAGCAAAAGCCGCAGCTGTGCCCTTTGGATGGAGTTACTTGAAGGCAGCAGGGGAGAAGGGGGCCTTGGTGGCCCCCAGGACAGCAAGACCACTAATAGGGTTCCCGTGGGCCCACACAGGAGCGAGGAGCTACAACAACTGTAAAAAAAAGGGGCCATTCAGAGGCCAGTGAGTCATTGCAAGGGACTGGCACATGGCCCATCCCATGGAAAGTGTTTGTAGCACAGGCAGTGGGGGAGACTGGCCAACCGGGAGAACTCTGGGACACAGCAAGGACAGCCATCCACCCCCCAATCAGTGCAGGACCACTCAGAGGAGACTGGTCAGGAAAATCGAATTG